GTGTACTTGGTGACCCAAGCAACGTGCTGCCAGGTGTGAGTCACTGGGTTTGCCCAGAGCGGTGCACACGAGCTCACGGCTCCTCAAACAGCAGAGTGCTGATTAATAGGAGGTGTTTTGTGGTTGTTGGGCCTTGACTGTTTGCATAATGTTGTGTGAAGCCTACTTGGTTCTTGAGTAGCTAATTAAATTATTTGTAATATATTCAAGTTGGTAGGTTGAAATTTCAGAGTTCCTCTTCTATTCTTCCATTCAGAAGTTTTTTCTTAAAACCCATTGGATGGTTGGCTATGCAGAAAGCAAAATTTTGGTGAGGGAGGGGGCCCAAGAGTGCATGTGAGGGAGCCATGGACCCTTTTCTGTCCCAACTGTCACAGCTGAGTGTGCATTTGTGGGTTCAAATCCCACCTCCACCTCCTGCCTCAGATCTCAGTAGGTAGCACTCCACCCCCACCCCCCACCCCCAGGCTCTTTGTCTCCTGTGTAAAACCGGTTGCTGATCCCTCCCTCCCAGCTGGACCAAGAAGGTGCTCAGGAAACGCCAGCTCCTGTCCTTTCCTTCAGATGAGGGAATGAGGGAAGCCAGAGAATGGGGCCTTTCCGCACAGTGGGTCTGCAGGGAGATGGTTAGCGTGAAGACTGCACTTTGTTACAAGTCAGAAGTGCGCTGGGATCTAGCCACCTTAACCAGCCAGTGGGGGCCCAGCTCTTGGTTTTAATAATTGTCTCATGGGAAGTGGTTTAAACAGCAGGGCGTGGAGCTCAGCTCTCCAGAAGTCAGGGGTGGGGCACTGCGGGCTAGTCCCAAGAGTCCAGGCCCCTGTGGCCCGGATGGCCTCCGTCTATCCTAGGCTGTTAGCAGACACAGATATGTGGCCTGAGCAATGAGAAGGTTGGGGTTGCCCCATCCTGAGATGGAAAGGCCACAGGGGAGCAGATGAGCAGGGCGATGAGGGGTTTGGTTTTGGGTGTTTTGCTTTTCTTTTCTAAGAATTATTTTTTATTTAATTTTGTTGATTTATTGGTATATTTCAATTTGACTGGTGAGGGACAAAGCCAGAGAGAAAGGGGGAAAGAGAGAAAGCAAGCTGCCAGGTCCAGGATTCAAACCTCAGTGGGCCATGTGGGAGTTCTTAACCACCACGCCACCTGCTGGCTCCGGATGTGTCACTTTCAAGGTGCCTTTTAGATATCCACGCTGAACCATCCAAAGGCAGTTTCACGGGGTTCTGGAGCAAGGGAGAAGCCGTCCAGGTATGAACGTGGAGCTCTGCGCACCCGCCTGGTGTCCTCAGCCTGGAGCAGCAGGATGTGGACGATTCCAGAAGGTGACAGCATGGATGGCCACTCGGCTATTGCCCATGAGAACTGGGATCTCTGCAGACGTCCACCTGCCTGGAGACAGTCCCATGGGATGTGGCGTCACTGGGGCTAGCAGATTCTAGAAGAGTGGGGTCACCGGGGAGTGGACAGAGGTAGGAGGCGGCCTCTCATCCGAAGGCCGTGCACGTTTTATCGGCGTGGAGCCTCCACAGAAGCGCACCTGTAGGGTCTGATCTGCCGGTCACAGTCCCCCACTCAGTCCCTGAGCACTCGTGGCCATGGGCCCAGCTTAGCCTGATTTTTAGGAGTGCGCGAACATCTCAACGGGGAGGTGAGCTGGGCAGGAGGCAGTGAGGTCAGGGGGTGCCTGGAGCAGGACAGGAGCCGTGTCCACAGCAGCAGGGCACATGCCTTTTAGGGTGGCCACCCAGCTGGCCTCGGCGTGGGTGCGGGGCAGTTCTGACAGATGCCTCCTGCTTCTGTCTGGACCTTGGCCCTCGGTGAGTGCTGTTGGCTGGACTGTGAGCGATGGTTCTAGAAACCTCTAGTTTATCTGCAACAGGCTGGTGTTTCTCAGGTTTCAGATGTTGCTAGTTTTTTGGTTCAAAGCTTTTAAAGAGGATGTCAGCAGAAAGAACCATGGAGGGGACAGCAGTGTCAGGCAGGGTGACACCCCCACTCACAACAGCCCTTTGGCTGGACCCCAGGCCTTCCAGCCGAGGGTCCCCGAGGAAGTTCATGCCTGTCGGGACAATGAAGACAGAGCGGAAGTCAGAGCCAGCAGACCCCTCTCCACCCAGCCACCCACGCCCGCATGGAGGTGGCTATGCCCCGAGGGCCTTTCTTGAGCTGGGTGTTATTTGCCTTCTCTGAGTCTTTTTCCCATTTAGTTGTGTGACTGGATTTAAGTGAAAGTTTTAAGGAAGGAGAAGATGGGCTTTATCGAGACGTTTGAGAACAGGCGCGTTGTGCGTGCAGCCCGACTTGACCCACGCCACCTGGCCTTCCCTTTTATTTTCTTTTCAAGGTTTTTGCTATAGGGCACGTGCACTGGCCAGAGAGAGACAGAGGGAAAGTGAGGAATCACTCCCTGGGGGGATGGCCCCGCCAGTCCCTTCTCTTGAGATTTTGGGCACACACTTACACGCCCAGTGTGGATTTCAAGCTGTCAGGTCCAGAACTGCGGCCAGCCATGTGGGAGTCCAGCACCTTCACCACACCGCCTGCTGGCCCAGCCACTCGCTTTCTCTTACTTAATGTCTCTTTTGTTCCCGTTCCTTCTCATCAGCTAAGTACCTGTGCGTTTATGGTGTCAATCCTGTATTTACAATTGAAATTTAAGATGCAATTGTTCTTACTCTGTCTTTCTCCGCTTCTGCATACCCTCCTGTGAGCCTTCCTCCTGTGCACAGGGCGTCCTGGGGGGTCCTCAGTCTCGGAGGTGTCTGCTCCAGGCGGGGGGCACGTCACCCTGAGGACAGTGGGACGGAAAGGCTCACCTATCATTGCCTACTTTTTAATTGCCAGAGGGCACGTGCACTTGCCAGAAAGAGAGAGAGAGAAAGTCGGGTGCGGTCACAATGCAGTCCCCTCTTCTCAGTTTCTGCACCCCTCAGAATTTTTGGCATGTGCGTGTACACACACACACACACACACACACGCCTTGCATGGTTTTCAAGCTACCAGGGCTGGGATTCAAACTGCAGTCGTCCATGTGGGATCCAGATCCCTTAACCTCTGGGCCATGGGGCCAGTCTCACATGTCACCGTTAAAGCAATTCAAGGTCTGTGAAAGATTGGCGCAGACGGCACCTTCACCCACTGCCCCAAAGTGAGGATCTCGCGCCCATGGCTCGAGACGTGTATTCAAACCAAGGCACCCGTGCCGCCGCATCAGCTGAGCCCCAGCCTGTACATGCTCCCCCCGCGAGTCCGTTAGCTCCGTGTAAGTCTCCCTGGTGTGAAACGCCTGGAAATCTTCCCACTGCAGGGTTCGGGCCAAGGTGTGTCCCACGGTGCGCGAAGGAATGTGCGACGGATCGGGCCCCGCTGTCACACCTTTCACACGCAGGGCTTTCTGAGGGGCATTGATGGAGCTGGAACCCCCCTCCACCCCCCTGTGGGGTCCTGCTTCCCAGAACGCCTTCCAGGGGATCACAGGGCCGTGTAGATGGGGAGCCTGAGATCGACAGATGGACGAGCCTCCCTGTTTAGCCTCAGGCCCGCATCTGTGGGTGGAGTGGCTGAGCTTCCTGGAGGTCTTTGGACTTGAGCACGGCTGGCTTAGGGAGGAGCTGGTGCCTGTCGCTGTGGGCCCCAGGCTGTCCTCCAACTGTAGCTCACTGATTCCTCTGCTCTCAAGGCCACCAGGCTGTGCGTCAGGATGGGCTGTGTGTCCCAGGAGGCACTACCCCAGCTTTCCCTTCTCATCCCTCGTGGGGTCGCTGGGGGTCAGCACTTGGGCCAGAGCCCCAGGGAGAGCTGTGGAGGAGGCAGTCATTCTTTCACATTGGCTCTGTCACCCAGAGACACTGGTCTAAAAGTTCCCTTGGTCATGTGTCCCCTGCCCAGGCGGCTTAGGTGTCAGCAGAACCAAGTCAGACCTGACCTTTACCCTGAGACACCTGCTGCCCACACTTCCTGACACTTCCTGCCCGGCCAGGCAGCAGCATCTTGGGCCTGTAAAGGCAAGGTGTGTGTGTGTGTGTGTGTGTGTGTGTGTGTGTGCGCGCGCGCACACGTGTGTACACATGTGTGTGTGCACGCGCACATGCACAGACCTGCAAGCCAGACCCACAGGAGAAGACATGACCTTTCCCTCAGTTCCTGAGGCAAAGACTATTCTCCACCTCCCTGAGGTGTGACAAATGGCTAGGCCCCTTCCTGTTGAAATGCGGACTGCAGAGAGCACAGCAGACAAAACCAGACCCACTGGCCCTCGTCCGTTTGGGTGTGGCTGTCCTCTTGGGCTGCAGGGCAGGGCCGGCCTCTGTCCACTGGCTCCAGCCTGCTGCCTCTCTGTGTCGGTCCCTTTGCTGGTCACAGCCCTGCTCATGTGCCATGGACCTTCATGGAGGGCCCACTACAGGCTCTTTGGTTTGGCCCCTGCGGCAGGGAGACCCCGAGGGCAGGTGTGGGCCTGAGCTCTCGAGGGTTTCCACATCAGCGGAAAGCACAGAGATCAGGCCACGCCTCACCAGGATAGGACAAGACCAAAGGGTCTGAAGTCCCAGGGCCCCTGGACAGGAGAGGAGGAGGTGTAGGCAGCGGGAGGCCCGGTGGCTATGTGGTGCTGCAGCACCAGGATCCCAGCTGGCCTGTGTGACAGCACGTGTCACTCTGTGCCTGCCCCAGTGACAGTCCTCTATGGCCCACTCTGTTCCAGCCCCTGGACAAGGCTGTGCATAGATGGCTCTGGCCAGTTCCCGGGGAAGTGGGCTCTGGTGGGCACAGAGGCCATGGCACTTCCAGTCCTGTGCAGACCAGGGTGGCAGGAGCCTTGTCTCAGATGGCCTGGTGTGCTCGGCTCCTGGTTCCAGAGCACCCCCCAGGGCAGGGGCTAGGGTGGGCGGTGGGGGCCCTGGCGTGCTGGCAGCACTGCTGGCTTGGAGAGGAGCTGGTAGCTGCCCCTGCGGGCCACCCCCCGACAGTCGCTCACTCACGTCTCTGCTCCCCAGGCTGGCGCCCATGCGGCTCTACACGCTCTCCAAGCGCCACTTTGTCCTGGTGTTTGTTGTCTTCTTCATCTGTTTCGGCCTGACTGTCTTCGTCGGAATCGAAGGTAAGGTTCTACTTTCACCATTTACGTTGGCGACTTTTTTCCATCCAGCACCGCCAGACCGCTGGCCCTCATCAGCCAAGATCCCTAGAGTGGGGAAGGAGCCCTGCTCTTCCTGGGCATGCAGGGCAGAAGAGGGGCCCAGCCCTTGTGGGCAGGTGCAGCGAGCAGGCCTGAGTAACCCGGTCCCGCCCTGCACAGGATGGCAGCGCCAGGTACCCTGACCGCGCACCTTTCCTTGACCAAGCAAACATTTCTAGAGCATCTATGTGCCATGCCCCACCCTGGGCGCTGGGGCATCAGAGCCTGCTGCCCAAGGGGAGACAGGCTGTGTGCAGTGAACAGGGCAGGCAGCACGGGCAGGGTGGCCCAGGGAACTGTGAGGCTGCTCTAGTGACATTGCCAGCTGTCTGCACAGGAGCATGGGCAGCTGCATGGTCGGCTTCCACTTTTGCCCTGTCCACAGGCCCAGGTGTCCTGCTGGTCCACAGCATGTCATTGGCAGGAAGAGCCATGTTGTGATGATTTGGGCTTGAAAATGCCTGTAAAACACCCCCTTTCTCAGAAATGGAAAACCGAGAGCCAGAGAATTTGAGTTGATTTCTCAAGGTTCCTAGAACCCAGGACTCCTCAGTCCTGTCCAGAGGGCAGGCAACCAGGAGCCACCTTAGGTAGGAGAGCATCTATTCCTCCTCTACGTCTTTCTTTCCCTCTCAGTTGTATCTGGTTTGCAGTGAGGGTGGTTTCCGGTAGGTATTTATTTAATTGACACTCAGCTCCAAAGTGTGATTAGGTTTGGCTTGTCCCAGATGCATTTGTGCCTCCAAAGGCTTGTTTCTTAACCTGAACTGGAACTAGGGTTAGAGAATGGCCTGGGGAGCTGGGGGAGGGACGGCTGTTGAGGTGACATTTATCTGATGATGGTGATGATGGTGGTGGTGACATTAGCAACTGTAGCCAACTTGTTTTCTTTCCCATAAGTCACCATGGAGTAAAAATCACATTTTAGTCACAGCCAAAGACATGTGGTCTTACTGATTTTCGTAACCACCCTTTGGGATCGGTAGGGGAGGATTGAGATTCTCGTGGTTTGCAGTCTCAGTGGAGCTCAGCCCCCTTGGTTTGTGTCAGCCCGTCTATCTCAACATCCCCGACTGTGTCCAGCCTTCTCCCCTCTCGCAGAAATGAGAATCAACACACAGAGGCTGAGATCGGAAAAGCGATGTCAAGATTTCCACATCCCCATGGAGTGCTTTATTAGTTGAGGTCCTCCAAAGAAACAGAACCCATAGGAGATAGATGGATAAAAGGACTTCCAAGTTCCGGCAGGTGGCGTGGCGGTTAAGGGCGCTGGACTCCCACATGGCCGACGATGGTTTGAGTCCTGGACCTGGCAGCTTGCTTTCTCACTTTCCCGCTCTCTCAATCTGTCCCTCTCTGGTTAAATTAAAATAAATAAATAAAAGTTAAAACAATTTTTTTTTTTAAAAAAAGGACTTTCAAAGTTCATGGAAAAATGGAGTTGAAAAGTATAAGTTTATTGGGCCCAGCAGTTAGCATAATGGCTATGTCGCTGGACTCCCACGTAGTCGACCACAGTTCGCGTCCTGGACTCGGTGGCTTAAAACTCAGGCCAGGCGTGTGTGCATGCATGCCCAAGATCCCGAGAGGAGAAGAGCAGGGATTGCGGCGTGGCCATCGCCCCTGGGGGGTGATTTCTCGCTTTCTGTCTCTCTGTCTGGCAAGCACATGTGCCCTATAGCGAAAACCTCTCAAAAAAAAACAAAAAAAAAAGTATAAGTTTATTTTGGTGCCAAAAAAAATTGAAATCTGTGTATAGTTTATTATCATCTTCATTGTTTATGAACAAGTGTTAAAAATGTCAATCCAGAATCTTTTCTCTGGCAAAATTGTTTTTCATATGTGAAGGAAAAATTAAGTTTTGTTCCTAGATAAACAAAAGCCAAGGAAATTGTTATCATTAGATCTGCCCCACAAGTATCACTGAAGGGATTTCTGTGGGTTGAAAAGAAAGGACACATGGGCCATCTGGTGGTGTGGTGGTTAAGACAGCTGGAGTCCACTTGGCTGACAGTACAGCTCAAATATTGGACCCAACAGCCTGAAAACCATGTGGAAAACACACTGGGCATGTGTATGTGTGTGCCCGGAATCCGAAGAGGAGGATGGAGGAGAAGGGATTATGGCATAGGCATCCCCCAGGATGTGCTTTCTTACTTCTCCTCTGTCTCTCTCTCTCTCTGGTAAATGTATGCACTCCACAGCAAATGAAAAATAAAGAAGAAAGAGAGAAAGAAATGAGAGACACTAGATAGTAATTCAAAGCCATATAGCCTCAGTAAAGATAAATATATGCATAATTTTAAAAACTATTATTGTTAATAGTGCTGTGTAACTCCATATTTGGTTTTCTCCATATTCTAAAATTTTAAATGCATTAAAAAATACTTACGTTTTGTGCACTATATAAAGATGTTATTTTGTCACAATTGAGACATCGACAATTGAAAGAGGAGAGAGCTGTTAAAGCTGCAGAATTTTGTGTGATTTTAAGCTTGTATAAATGTAAATTAGTGTGTTATAACTCTAGAATGTTAAGTGAGAGACAACAAACTATGAGGCATGTAGAAAACAAATGCGTAGGAAACAAAGGAATATAGAGACCAAAATGACAGAAGTTTCTCCTTATTAGTAGTTATTTTAAATGTACATGAAGTAAACTCACAAATCAAAAGGCAGAGATTGTCAGAATGGATAAGATAAAAATATATGATCCAACAAGTGTATAGTTCTGTAGCATGAAAGTCATTCATCACTATCTGCCTCCAGAACTTTCTCCTCTTGCAAAACAGAAACTCTGAAATGTTTTTTGCTCTTTTTGCTAAGAGACTCACTGCGATGCAAACACAGGTAGGTTGGATAAAAAGGATGAAAAGTGCAAGCAGTCCTGTATGGTCCAGCAATTCCCCTTCTGGACATACATTCAAAATCACTGAAGGCAAGGTTTCAGAGATGTTGTATACCATGTTCATAGTAGTAGCATAAATCATTGAAGGCAAGGTCTCAGAGACGTTGTATACCATGTTCATAGTAGTAGCATAAATCATGGAAGGCAAGGTCTCAGAGACGTTGTATACCATGTTCATAGTAGTAGCATAAATCATGGAAGGCAAGGTCTCAGAGACGTTGTATACCATGTTCATAGTAGTAGCATAAATCATGGAAGGCAAGGTCTCAGAGACGTTGTATACCATGTTCATAGTAGTAGCATAAATCATGGAAGGCAAGGTCTCAGAGACGTTGTATACCATGTTCATAGTAGTAGCATAAATCATGGAAGGCAAGGTCTCAGAGACGTTGTATACCATGTTCATAGTAGTAGCATAAATCATGGAAGGCAAGGTCTCAGAGACGTTGTATACCATGTTCATAGTAGTAGCATAAATCATGGAAGGCAAGGTCTCAGAGACGTTGTATACCATGTTCATAGTAGTAGCATAAATCATGGAAGGCAAGGTCTCAGAGACGTTGTATACCATGTTCATAGTAGTAGCATAAATCATGGAAGGCAAGGTCTCAGAGACGTTGTATACCATGTTCATAGTAGTAGCATAAATCATGGAAGGCAAGGTCTCAGAGACGTTGTATACCATGTTCATAGTAGTAGCATAAATCATGGAAGGCAAGGTCTCAGAGACGTTGTATACCATGTTCATAGTAGTAGCATAAATCATGGAAGGCAAGGTCTCAGAGACGTTGTATACCATGTTCATAGTAGTAGCATAAATCATGGAAGGCAAGGTCTCAGAGACGTTGTATACCATGTTCATAGTAGTAGCATAAATCATGGAAGGCAAGGTCTCAGAGACGTTGTATACCATGTTCATAGTAGTAGCATAAATCATGGAAGGCAAGGTCTCAGAGACGTTGTATACCATGTTCATAGTAGTAGCATAAATCATGGAAGGCAAGGTCTCAGAGACGTTGTATACCATGTTCATAGTAGTAGCATAAATCATGGAAGGCAAGGTCTCAGAGACGTTGTATACCATGTTCATAGTAGTAGCATAAATCATGGAAGGCAAGGTCTCAGAGACGTTGTATACCATGTTCATAGTAGTAGCATAAATCATGGAAGGCAAGGTCTCAGAGACGTTGTATACCATGTTCATAGTAGTAGCATAAATCATGGAAGGCAAGGTCTCAGAGACATTGTATACCATGTTCATAGTAGTAGCATAAATCATGGAAGGCAAGGTCTCAGAGATGTTGTATACCATGTTCATAGTAGTAGCATAAATCATGGAAGGCAAGGTCTCAGAGACATTGTATACCATGTTCATAGTAGTAGCATAAATCATGGAAGGCAAGGTCTCAGAGATGTTGTATACCATGTTCATAGTAGTAGCATAAATCATTGAAGGCAAGGTCTCAGAGATGTTGTATACCATGTTCATAGTAGTAGCATAAATCATGGAAGGCAAGGTCTCAGAGATGTTGTATACCATGTTCATAGTAGTAGCATAAATCATGGAAGGCAAGGTCTCAGAGACATTGTATACCATGTTCATAGTAGTAGCATAAATCATTGAAGGCAAGGTCTCAGAGATGTTGTATACCATGTTCATAGTAGTAGCATAAATCATTGAAGGCAAGGTCTCAGAGATGTTGTATACCATGTTCATAGTAGTAGCATAAATCATTGAAGGCAAGGTCTCAGAGATGTTGTATACCATGTTCATAGTAGTAGCATAAATCATTGAAGGCAAGGTCTCAGAGATGTTGTATACCATGTTCATAGTAGTAGCATAAATCATTGAAGGCAAGGTCTCAGAGATGTTGTATACCATGTTCATAGTAGTAGCATAAATCATTGAAGGCAAGGTCTCAGAGATGTTGTATACCATGTTCATAGTAGTAGCATAAATCATTGAAGGCAAGGTCTCAGAGATGTTGTATACCATGTTCATAGTAGTAGCATAAATCATTGAAGGCAAGGTCTCAGAGATGTTGTATACCATGTTCATAGTAGTAGCATAAATCATTGAAGGCAAGGTCTCAGAGATGTTGTATACCATGTTCATAGTAGTAGCATAAATCATTGAAGGCAAGGTCTCAGAGATGTTGTATACCATGTTCATAGTAGTAGCATAAATCATTGAAGGCAAGGTCTCAGAGACGTTGTATACCATGTTCATAGTAGTAGCATTCACAGTAGCTAACATTGTAGAATCAACCCAAGTGTCCATCAACAGACGAATAGTGAAAGGTGGTGTATACATATGGTGGGATATTAGCCTTAAAAAGTAAGAAATTTGGACATGTGCTACAGCATGGATGAATTGTGAGAATGTTATATGAGATGACATAAGTCAGTCACAAAAAGTCAAATTCCACTTACATGGATACTTAGAGTAGCCAGGCTCACAGAGATGGAAGGTAGAATGGTGATTACCAGGAGCTAAGGGGAGGGGAATGGACAGTTCTTGTTTAATGGCGTTTCAGAGTTTCCGTTTTGCAAGAAGAGAAAGTTCTGGGGGCAGATAGTGGTGAATGACTTTAATGCCGCGGAACTATACACTTAAATATGGCTAAGATAGCACATGTAAGGTCATGCATTTTTTACCACAATAAGAAAATTGGAAAAAAGTATGAAGCTTGTGTAT